GGTCCCACATGCCACACAGCACAGCCAAAAGGATGAAAAAAAAAAAAAAAGCATGGAGAAGGTGCTCAAGAAATGTTTGTTGGCCTGAACTACTGAGGGGGGAGAAACCCCAGGAGTCTCAGCCCCGGAGGGGTCGAGAAGGGAGGTCATCAGGCAGGGCTAGCAGGTTCCAAGCTCGCTGCCCCCTGCCCCCGCCAGGACCCCCGGCGCTACGAGGAGTGGAAGTGGTTCCGCTGCCCCACCCTGCTGGAGGTGCTCGAGCAGTTTCCATCTGTGGCACTGCCCGCCCCGCTGCTTCTCACCCAGCTGCCCCTGCTCCAGCCCCGGCACTACTCGGTCAGCTCAGCGCCCAGCGCCCATCCAGGAGAGATCCACCTCACAGTAGCTGTGCTGGCATACAGGACCCAAGGTGAGGCTGGGAGGCAGGGGCAGGGCCAGGACCACACCGTGACCCTGGGATGGACCCCTCACCGGCCCCCTCCCTCCCCAACCCCCTAGATGGGCTGGGTCCCCTGCACTATGGAGTCTGCTCCACGTGGCTGAGCCAACTCAAGACTGGAGACCCCGTACCCTGCTTCATCAGGGGGTAAGTGAGCACTGTGGGGGAGGGGGGCAGGCAGGGCGCCAAGAAGAGAGTGTCTGTCCAAGCAGGGGTGGCAGAGTGCGTCATGGATGGCCGAGGACAGGTGGGGGGATCGGCAGGCAGTTGCACAGGGTGAGGGTAGAAGCTTTGGTGAAGGGTGTGATTGGGAGCAGGGACGCCCCACTTAACATATCCAGGACGGGGCACCCACTTCACAACTCTGGCTAAGTTTGGGGCCTTTCACTAATTTGGACTTAGGGTCCTATCTTGAGACTGCAGTTCCCAGAGACGGGGCTGGAATTCGATCCAGCAGGCCCTGTTGCTTTTAGACGGTGTACTGTGTCCCTCCCTACATCTCTGGGGTCAGTCTGATGTTGGCAGGCAGGGTGCTTGGGAACTGTGCCCCATCCGCATTTAGTCCGGGGAGAACTGGCTAGGTTACCACAGTAACGCTGAGCACTGGAGGAAAGTGAAGGATCTCAGGGTACCCCTCCCTCCTGCTGTGTTCAGAAGTCTTGCCCCATCCAGCACCCAGGAGCTGGAAGTCTCAGGTGGGACAAAGAAGTGTTCCCAGGATGGCACCAGCTAGGCCTAGTGACCCAAACCCATCCAGCAGGCTAAATTACAGAGAAACTGCCCGTCTAGTGAATACAAACCAAATGCCAATGTCGAGGCTGCGGTTTAAAACAAAGACACTCAGTGAACACATTATGAACTAAAAGGCTGTCTGTTCTTCTCTTCCCCGTACTTTATCTCCTGAACTGAGACCTCAAAACATTCTTCAATTCAAATTTAAGCTTTATTTCCTTTGACCCAACCTCCAGAAACCACAGGTCCAGGAAGTTTCTGCCAATCAGCAGTGTTCTTTTATTAAACACTTTGCGTTTACTATGAGCTAGACACAAGCATTTTCAGTGGAAGTGGAGTTCTCCTCTCTCAACCCTGCTGAGGCTGATAAGAATGGGGGATGTGGGGAAACAAAGTGGGCCTGATGGAGGGTCTCTTGGCTAGGGCTCCCTCCTTCCGGCTGCCGCCTGATCCCAGCTTGCCCTGCATCCTCGTGGGCCCGGGCACTGGCATCGCCCCCTTCCGGGGATTTTGGCAGGAGCGGCTACATGACATCGAGAGCAAAGGTGAGGCTGGGGCCCAAGGGAATGATTGGAAGGCAGGAGGGAGTCACACAACTTAGGGGCACAAAAGAGCAGGGGGCTAGAAAGCAGGAACCAGGTAAGAAAGAAGGCAAGGAACAGGGCCACAAAGGTGAAAAGAAGTTTATTAGACCAGGGGGTCAGGGGCCTAGAGCCAAGGGCAGTGCCCTGTTGGTCTGGCTTCCTGGTGCCCAGCACAAAGTAGTGTTGGATTGGATTAACAACAAAGGGAACCCGGATGTCTGGAGAAGATGGGGCTGGGACTCAGAAGACAGATATGTCCCAGGTGGACTCTGGACTGTGTCAGAGGTCACCTAGGTGTGTCTGAGACCCAAGGAAGCTACAGGGTGTTCAGATTGGGCATGGGGTGCCCAGGGGAGCTGGTAAATCAGACGAAGGGAGCTTGTGACTAAGAGGAAGGTGTAGATTGCAGGAACTGAAGGTGTGGGAGAATATGGGCTTAGAGCAGGGACGGGGCCAGACAGTCTCAGACTGCAGTGTTGGATGGTACAAAGGGCATGGAGTCAGAAGCCCCAGGCGCAGCACAGCGTCACTACTGGCCATGCCACCAGAGGGAAGTCACCATCTCCTGTGACTTTCGGCTTCTCTGTAAATCAGCGTCAGGCAGGATCTCTGTGAAAGCATCCCAACTCTCCTAGAGGCCAAACAGCTGAGTGGTTGTTTCTGCCGGAAAGGGTGGACCCCTCAGCCTGGGTGAGGGTAGCCAGTGGGAGGTGTCACTAGGCCTGTGTCCCCAGGAGGGGGTTGGGGGGGCTCTCCCAAGCCGCAGTGACGCTTGCAGGGCTGCAGCCTGCCCCCATGACCTTGGTGTTCGGCTGCCGGTGCTCCCAGCTCGACCATCTCTACCGCGAGGAGGTGCAGGATGCCCAGCAGCGCGGGGTGTTTGGCCGCGTCCTCACCGCCTTCTCCCGGGAACCCAACAGCCCTAAGGTGCGGGACCCTGAGGGGGCAGGGGTAACCCGGCGCGCCTAGGCCCAGGCCCAGGCCGGCCCCGCCCCCTGCAGTGCGCACCTTCCGCTCGACCCCGTGGCGCTCAGACGCCCGCCCCCACTCGGCTCCACCCTCGTGCCAAGGCCCCTTTGGGTCTCACCCACCCTCACCCATGCCCCGCCCCTTACTTGTCTCCGTCCCTTGAGACCCCACCCTAGCGCACCAAGGCCCCACCAGGTGCTCTGGGTATCTTTCCGCACTCAGGACCCACCCTGCCCGCTCCCCCCGCGGGGCCTGCCCTTCCCTGCCTGGCGCCCCGCCGGGGACTGCCCCTGACCCCGCCTCCCCTCAGACCTACGTGCAGGACATCCTGCGGACGGAGCTGGCTGCAGAGGTGCACCGCGTGCTGTGCCTCGAGCGGGGCCACATGTTTGTCTGCGGCGATGTCACCATGGCAACCAGCGTCCTGCAGACGGTGCAGCGCATCTTGGCGACAGAGGGCGACATGGAGCTGGATGAGGCCGGCGACGTCATCGGCGTGCTGCGGGTGCGGAGGGGCGGGGCCGGGGGCCGCCCCCACTCCCGCTGGCAACTCCGACTTGGGTTTTGATCTCCCGCCCTCTTTCCGCCGCCAGGATCAGCAACGCTATCATGAGGACATTTTCGGGCTCACGCTGCGCACCCAGGAAGTGACAAGCCGCATACGCACCCAGAGCTTTTCCTTGCAGGAGCGGCATATGCGGGGCGCAGTGCCCTGGGCGTTCGACCCGCCCGGCCCAGACACCCCTGGCCCCTGAGAGCCCTCTTGCTTTCCGCTTCAGTTCGCGGAGAGAGGGGCCGTCAGACCGGAACCAGCCACCTCTCCCTCCCCTCCCGAGGTGCCGTCCCACCTCTGTCCAGAGACTGCGGAGACTGGCCTGATTCCCGGGGAATATCTCTTTCTCTGTCTAGGTCTGTTTCCCTACCCTAGGTCTGAGTAAATCTGGAAGGCCGTCTCCCAGCAGTGGTATTCCAGAGCCCTTTTGTGTTATTTAGGTGAATTTTAGATTCCCCTCACCTCTCTCGGAAGTATCTTATCTTGAAGCCTGATCTCTAAATCATTGAAATATTTATTACTGAAGATTCACCATAGGAGACCAGATCAGAAGTTATGAGAGCTACTAAGATGCCTAACCCCGTGCTGTCAATTATAGTTACAGAATGAATGACAAAGCTTTGTCTTTGAACTTGTGCAGACAGTGTGGAGGTGGTAATTCTTTGACAGGGAGTCCTGGAGAACAGTGGTGGTTTCCAGCCAATCACGGGCAGTTCTGTGTTGCTCCCTGATCTGGACTGAGAAGCAGGTGCAGACGTCAGCTGACAGGAGTGGGGATTCCAGGACTAAGGTCACAAAGCTGTGCAGCACAGCCATGAGCAAACTTTACCGCTTGTTTCAGAGAGGACGAGGGGCCAGACCCGCCTCCTCATGTCACACCAACGTGAGCTCCGAAAACATCAGGCCTCTCTAGTCTTCCCACCCAGTCCCCAGGCCCTTGCACAAGTCCCATGGGAACCTAAAGTCCAGCTGTGTCTAAAGAACCTGCTGGGGCTTCCCTGGTGGCGCAGTGGTTGAGAGTCCGCCTGCCGATGCAGGGGACACGGGTTCGCGCCCTGGTCCGGGAAGATCCCACATGCCGCGGAGCGGCTGGGCCCGTGAGCCATGGCCACTGGGCCTGCGCGTCCACAGCCTGTGCTCCGCAACGGGAGAGGCCACAGCAGTGAGAGGCCCGCGTACCGCACACACAAAAATTAAGAACCTACTGCCTTTCAGGTCCAGCCCCTCATGGCTCCCTTATGTGTAGCTTGGCCTCCATCTTGGCTCTGCCCTCCAACCTGAGGTCACCTGGGCACTTCTTCCCAGGCGGCCAGTCCAGGACAGATAGTTGTCTCTAAGCCCCTCCATGTGAGGACTGTCTCTAAGACATGTTTCCTGATGCCTTGGGCATCTCCTCTCCTACCCTTTCTCTCTTCTCCGGGGCGAGTTCGTCATTGACTCCCAAGTTCTGCCCAGCTAAAGCATCCATGGGGGTCTTTAAAGAGGGCTCGGCGTGCCCTTCCACTCTACCTCGTCCGATCTCCTGTGGCTGGAGAAGCCAGGGAACCTGGGGGAGGAAAAACTCTTGACAAGCGGTCCAGGGGTTTAGGTTCCAGAGATGACCATCCCCATCACCCCAAATTCCCACCACTGCTCCCATACCTCCGAGTCTGAGTCCGCCCAGTGTCCTACTCATTGCCCTGCCTCCACCCCAGTTAGACAATACAGGCCGTGAGCAGCCCTCTCAGTCAGTGCTACTGGCCTGGCCAGGCTCCTTCTGGGTGTCTGTGGGCTCCTGAAACCCTCCAGGGAACAGATTCTGCGTCCTCTGGGTTCTCCACTGCTGTCTGGGGCTGGAAGCAGGACTGGAGCCTGGTGAGAAAAGCCATCAGCTGGGCAGTGCCATAATACCTGCGGTTCACCCGGGGTCTGTCCCCCGCACACCCTGACCGCCTCACCATCACTGGACCAGGATGGCTTCTCCCCATCCGACGAGAGTGTCTGTGGCGGGCTGGCCCAGGGCCTGGACAGGGAGAAGGCTGAAGCCTCGCCCCACAGTTCCTGCTGCTGCTGCCGATGGAGAGGGGAAGAATGAGGGGCTCCCTCTGGCCCTGCAGCCTGAGGCCCAGCCCCCGGGCTCGGCGCAGAGGGTGCTGAAATCTCCTCCCCCACCCTCAGCTTGGAGCCCGTCCCTGGCTGTGCAGGGCTGTGGTTTGGTAGGAGTCTGCCTGCCTCACTCAAAGCAGAGCTGCGTTCCACCCGCAGCTCCACTGCTTGCCACCTGCGACCTCGAGCTAGGCACTTCACTTCCCCTAGCCTTAGGGCCCTCATTTGTCAGATGAGGACAATGGGGCTTTCCTGGTGGCGCAGTGGTTGAGGGTCCGCCTGCCAACGCAGGGGACGCGGGTTCG